GGAAAGAGTAGACTCCTAGAGGTAGATTCTTTACCAGACTTAGTCCTTTTTTTAGAGCACGGCAGTAGTATTTTTGCAACAAAACTGTAAATATTATTGCCACTTCTTTATCCATCCCATCTGGCATAAAAAGGCAAAAATTGTGCATTAAGAATGTGTTAAGAGCACTAGAAGACTTTAGCCCAAATTAGATCTCTTTTGGCAGGTGAATGATTTGACAATGGAGGAACGTAACTTGCCGGAGAAGAGTTGTAGTAACTATTGTTGGTCTCCTCCTATTTCCTGCTGTAGCACAAAAAAAAAATCTAAAAAAATCTGAAATGCAGGACAATAGGAATATTTCTAATACTATGATCACAATCACAACCTTTTGAAATTAGACCATAGCTTTAAAATTGTTTTGCACACTTTTTTTCAAAATAAAAGTATCTCCATAGAGCCTTTAGTTTTGGAGATGGCCTGCTTTGAAGGAGATAATGTTCAAATTATTGCCACACGCAAACCAGTAAGTTCAGCCTTCCATTTCCCTAGCTTCCAGTTTAGTGCAAGCATTCAGGAACTGTCTAGTTGTTCAAGATCTATAAAGTTACTACGTGAACTTTATTCTCTGCAGGTAACTTACAACCCTCTTTGAAGACGGTTAAGGCACCAGAACACTTCAAGGAGGACAGTTCAGAAGCTTCAAGTCAGGAGGAAGGTAGTTGTGTACTCAAAGGTGGTTCTTCTCTGAGAAATTTTGCCACACTCAGTTCTGGAAATCTTACAGTTGACTGATTTCTTCATTGGTACAAAGCTGAGAGATTTGAATGAAATCTGCTATGTAAATGAAGAATTTTTTTATGCTTCAGCAGTTTCCTTAGGAGGTGGTTGTATAATCCAAGGAGTGGGAGTGTTCATAGACAGCTCAGAGGCAGAAGTTCACAGCTCTGTTGAGCAACCAGGAGGATATACTTTACAATTTGTTTGAGCCAAGGTTGTTTGTAGCTTTTCATGTCTTTACCTATTTTCCAGTTACCAGGCTTAGAAGTTGAGTGCAGCATTTCAAGAGTTGCAAACTGTTTTGCATTAAATGTGCCAAATTTGTCTAGCTTTTAGTTTTACACAGAAAGGATGTTCAAGTTTTCCTCTTCTTATTCTTAACCTATGCTGCTTTTTTACTTTGGACTGTTAATAAGGACTGTTTGGGTCTGTAGGGAGTATTGATTACAGTCTGAAAGCTGCTGTTTTCCAAATACCTCAAAAACAGTTCACATGTGGAAGCAGCAGCCTAGTGGCTGGTCAGTCATTTCATTCTGAAAGGAATGACAAACCAGTTTTGCATTGTTTTCAGTAGCAAACACGTAGAAGCTTCGGGTAGGTGGAAAGGATGAGAAATGGGACTGAACACTTACACTAGCTTTCCAGAATGGCTCCACTCTTACCCTGTTACACATTAATAACTAATAAGAAGTTTGCGGTTGATCTTACGTGCAATTAGTAATCCACATATGGTTCAGACGCCTTTTTCTCGTTTAAAAAAAATCATTACCATATTCTTCTTTAGAGTTCAGAAAGCACAATATATTTGGAAATTGCTGAAATAGTGTTTTATATACTGTCCTTAAAAGAAAATAAAAAATTTATAGTTTCATCAGGTGAACAGATGCATTTCAGAACGCCTTTTGTGCCAGCCATTTTAGTGAAGTGCTACCAGAAGTTTTAAAATTGTGATTTTTCTTTTTTAAAGGTTTGTTGGTTTTTTTTTTTTTTTTCAAATCATAATTTGGACTTAGGTGTAGCATTGAGAGGAGTTCAGGCAAAATGATAGATACCAAGAAGGCTAAGATCATCAACAGTTGGAATTAAGAAAAGTTGCTTTTGTTAAAAGTTAACAGTTACCTTAATGAAACTGGTAGACCATGTCTCTAAAGTTCTTGTTTCTTGTTCGAGGCAGTATTTCTTTTTATGTCTAATGTAATTTGTAAAGCTTTATTTGCATAGTGAATTTTGAGGTTCAGAATGTAATGCTTCTGTGTAAGACTTGTCTTCATTCACTATTGAGAATGGTGACATAGTTTTGAGATGAATTTTAGCAGTTCAGAAAAAATTAGAAAATTCTTTACTTTTCTGACTGAATCATTTCTTCTCTCTCCATCCTTTCATACTGGGTGATATTCAGTCATGCATTTAGTCCTTATGATTAAATATAGAGGTGAGCAAACGTAAATGGTTGTTGCAGTTCCTATTTTTCTGTTTCATCCTTCTGTGAAATGGAAGGTAAAGAATCTTGATTATACTATCTGTACAAACTGCTCTGTCCTCTATGCGACACCTGTTAATTTCAGCACTGTAAATTAAGCCTAGCCTATTTAACGGAGATGTCTTCTGCTAAATGTCTGATAGTGATGGAAAGCTGAATTTGTTGGATTGATCTAAAAGAGGAAATAGGAATTGCTATTGAAATTATGCTTTGTTTATTTTTTTTCCAGATGTAATGCAACACACAGCAGTTCACAAGAAACATAATGGAAAAAGTCCTGTTGCCAAGTAGGTGCTGGGATGATGTAATGTGAACGTGCTACATTTCTGAACTTCATTTGTTAGTGCTTTGGGAGTATGTGTTTCCTTCTAGACTGAAGCTTGTTTGTGGGGTTTTTTGTTTAGTTGGGGTGTTCTGGTTTTATTTTTTGTCGTTTGGAGGGACGTTATAATACAATCTATATTAGAAAAATATTTCAAAAGATCCTGTTTCTAAATCTGTGGGTCTAGGTCAAATTTTGTGAATCTTCACTACTTGAGTTGATGTTTTGATTTGTGTTAATAAGCTGAGTAACGTAAATTTGTATTGCATGTATTTTTCCCACGTGCACACACCCCCATGCACATACGGAAAATTTCCAGTGCTGTTGATTTTAAGTTTTTCTTCATTAGCTTCAAAGATGACATTATAGGGGAAAGTAATCTGTTCTTTCCTTTGCTTAACAGCAAAAACACGTATACCTTGCAGGTTTACATCCATTGTAAGTGGAAGCACTTCTTAACCATATTAGTTTATATATGCTTTCAGATATACAATGTAATGTGAATTCACCTGTTGATATATTTTGACCAGAAACTTTGGATATGTTTGCACATAGTTGTGCTATACTTCAACTATGTTAAGAGAAAAAATGGATATAAAATTTATTGTGGTTTACACTTTCGTTTTGTGTTGCTTTATCTGTAAAACGTATTTATCTTGGGCGGTTGGGGGAATTACCTGAAATTACAATAATTAGAATATAAACATAGCACAAAACAGTGTTGGTTAAGGTTCACAGATCTTTAACAGACAATTTTCTTGTGAAATTACCAATTGGACAACTTAGTGGTTTGTTTCTGTTTTGTTTTTTAACCTTCCTACTTACTCTCAACTTACATTTCTTCAAGAAGAGAACGTCATCTTGACAAAATCTCTAACTATACCAATGGATGTAAGCCTACTATGAAGTTGTAAGAGCTGGATCCAAGCTTACTAGCATACAGTTACTACTAAAAAAAATTGTCTTTTTCTTATTCATTGTTTAATAAAGTATGCTAAAGCTGACTGTAGATTAGGATCTATCTATCAGGTAGGAAAGACAGACACGGGCCTCTCCACAAACTTCTGTGATAGAAACTCCTTTTGCTAGCTTTTATTTTCTGGTTATTTAAGAGGGGGAAATGTGTTTATTACTTGAATGCCAGAGGTCTGTTAGTCTTCTCCTCTTGGCGTTATGTGTCTGTCATCTTAAAATATGTGCCTTCTATTTATGTGTTCTAAAGAAATGGCACTGAATGAAATTTTTCTGTTTAAAATATGTATAAAACTCTCTAGAGTTAAGAGAAGTTGAGCTCAAATAGCATTGGTACAGTTCAGGAAAATTTATACATTACTTCTGTCTAACGTTTGTTTTTATTCAGTATGGCAGCATTACTCTTGAAAAGGTCCAAAAATTTACTGGTAGGAATGAGATCAGACATGCAAAATAAAAAATTTAGTAGTATCACAGCTTACATGAAATGACTACAAATTTGGCAGCAGATTCACTTGACTCCATTCATCAGCAGTGTCTAAAGTGACCATGCGTATATCTCTGCAGTCATGGGCTCATGTCTGTATTTTGGGACCTTCTTGGATTCTCACCATTTTCTTAAACTGTTAGGTTAATATCCTATTGTAAGTCTTTTAAGTAGTTTGAGCACTTATTTCCAGAGGTGTTTGGCAAGTAGCTACGGGAACTTCATTATATCTCTTGCTTTGGAATGAGCTAGATTTCCGCCATCATGGGAACTGAATTTCACATTGCGGTAACCTTCACAAAACAGCTTGCCAACAGCCCTGAATTAAAAGGCACTTTCAATTATCAGCACTTCGATAAGAATTAAAAAGTGTTAACTATTTTTTTTTTTTTTCCATCCAGTCAGTAGCCAGTCAGTAGTAGAGCATGGGTTTGGATGATAGACAAAAAGTATATAGGTTCATGTGCCCTACTGAGACTGTCAGAACCCTGGTTGTTTTTCTAGCAGTCTTTGTTGACCAGTGCTCTCGGACCTAGTTAAATATTGCTTCTGACCGCTGCTGTTAAGAGACGCTTCAGTGGAAGGCATTATAAGGTCCAGAGTAAATGCCAAATGCAACTCCCCTTTCCCAGCAGTACTCAAAACTAGCAATCCTGAAGGTAAAAATACAAAGCAAGGCGGCTATTTTGAAATTAAACACAGCTGCAGTATGATCTGTAAGTAGCCATGCACGTCTTTTTTTAAATGTCTCATGAATTCTGATATAGGGATTACAAAGTAATTCCAGCTTTGTCAGTAACGATAAGGAAGAAAGAAGATTAATTCAGAATACATTTCTATCTGGAAAATTTCCCCACGTCTGGCACGAAAAAAGCAAACAAAAAGACTTTGTGTGCAGAAATATCCATGGAAACTCTTCTCTCAAGTACTGTTTTGTACAGATTCTGTTGTTCTGAATTTTGCGTCAAATTATAGTAGACAAATGGAAAAAGGAACTCCAGTTACGTTAAGATTATAACTGTAGAGCGCAAGAACTCCTGTAATTTACATCTTTTAAATCTCTTGAGAATTCCTAGGGTTTTCTGAAAGCAAAAGACTGCAGTTGCCCAACATGATGCAAACGTATATGTTGGTAGGAAAAGCCTGCAAGTTTGTTCACATCAGCATAACCGTTGTGGGGGGTTTTTTTCATTTCAGCAGCACTAGCAGTGCAAAATGTTCTTCACTGGATAGCCTTAACATACAGCACTCTGAGCAAAATGGGGTAATGGACTGGAGAAGAAAAAGCTGTATTGTCCAGCAGCACCCAGAGCACTGTACAGACCTACTTGACCAGGTGTGTTGCTGTTTTTTCTTTAAAGCAATATTCTGAGATGCTCGAGAAGACTGTCCACTACACATGATTAGATTTAGCTTTAAAAGATGAAGAGCCCTGCTAAGATTGTACAAATAAGTGTTGAAGTTCAAGTTGCTACTGACTTACCTTGATTAGAAAAGTCCTCGTAATTACTTCCCCCTATCTCTTTCTATGTTCAGAGAGAATTTCACAATGCCTGGGGAATTTCTGTTATTGCAAGGAAGAAACTAGAAGCTGTACTAATAACTAAACCGTATTAATGCTGCAGTAGGGCCAACAGGTTAAGCATATTCTTTCTATCTTACCTGCATTATCTAAGTAACTTAAGTATTAAATCTTTGTTGAAAAAAGTTAATAGTTAGATGCATATACACTTTTTGTGAGATTTGTGTCTCTTCAGTAGTCAATTTTGGTGTGAGTATAGTTGAGACAATTATTTATAAATAAAATCATCTACTAAAACTGTGGGAAAGAAGGTTGCTCACTGTTTATGTGTGAAAAACCTTGAATGTTAGAATTACTTAATACTGCCCTTATTGTACATGCAGAATTGGGCTATTGATTATTTTGTGGGGAATAGCAAGCTAAACAAAACCAGTTTCCTTATTTCACAAAGCAGGGTAATGAACTGAGATTCGCTTCTAAAGACAAAATGGTAGACTGCATCAAAGCTTGAAATACTGCAAGCTTGTGGCCAGAAAACAATTAATATACTAAAGCAGAGAATAAGCTACTTCCTATTTAAAGGGTGTATGTTTGGACAGAGATTATTTCTGAGTTTTCATAAATTTTACTCCTTTGCCAAATAGAAGATATTACTAGCAGCTAGTAATAGTATACTTAACCAATTATGCAGATGTTATGGGTTTTTTCTTATGTACTTCTAGGTTACATTCTAGAGTTTAGTTTAGCAACAACCTCCATTTTAAGGCTGGGTACCTGCTTTACCACTACGTAAAAATAATTTGCCACCTGTACTTCCCACCCCTCAACCATCAAGTAATTCCACTTAAATCAATAAATTCTGTAGCCCCTTAAGCTTTGTGATTAGCCTTTTTAGCGGGTGTGTGATGAAACACGTTTGCTTTTATCCTCAAGAGGAAAGACAGCATGCAAACAATAATTTGATTGATATCTTTGGAATATTTGCAAGTAGTAGTGTGCTGAGTGTTTTGCTGATAATAGCATAAACGCAGGACAAGATGCATTATTCTGAACTGTACAAGTAGTTGTTTGGTTATAGCACCTGTGAGTGCACTAATCTTGGACTTGTGGACCTATCGGTTTTTATGATACGAAAATTCTGTTGTTTGACTGGCATCTTTGTATTTTCTGTCTAGCATGCAATGGAAAAACGAAGTCTGTCTACAGTAAGCAAGAAGAAAGGAAAGCCACAGCTGGAAAAGTAGGTTTCCAATGTAACCAGTAATCGAGAAACAAAGTCTAATGCATTAGCTCTGATAAACAGAGTCTAGAATCAATTAGGTGCTTTGTTTTGCTATTGTGGAACAAAAGCTGGCATAGCGTGAAGCCAGTCTACATAAAAATCCTTATTTTATCTTCTGAAAAAAAAGTAACTTGAAAAATAGAATGTAATTGTATGCATTCATTTCTCAAAATATCGGTTGTCATTTAGCAAAAAGATGAAGGAGCAGAAGTAGGTTTTTAATCAATACCGAACTGCCTTTTCTCCCTTTATATTTATTTGAAAGTTAAAAGGTGTAAAGCTGTCCAGAAAACACTGAAAATCAAATAAGGATTGACAGCAACCTTTAACGTTACGCAGTGGGTGGTAACTTGCCGAAATGTTTTATTGAAGACAATTTGCACATCAGAGAGCTTCAGAACTTTCAGTGGGATATACAATCCTGCACTGTGAGGAAGTGAAAACAATTCTACCCTTATCTAATATTCCGCCAACTTCCAAGTTGACTGTCTGTCATTTTGTTACTCTGTAGCCAGATGCTTGTATACTAGTCTGGTGTATGGCTGCATCACACACATCACTTTTCAAAGACGTCTTTAGAATTAGCTGCACTGTTTCTTTTTTGTGTGTGTTCTCTTTTTTAGATCTTTATTCATAATGTTTATTAACACTGCTTGCAGTTTAGTTGCTAGTGTATTGCACTAACAGCCTTTACCTGTTTGTTTATTATCTACATTTGTTGTTATATCTACTAAATACACATTTTTGGCCTGGAGTTGCTGCCTTTGTTTACAGTGACATTACATGTTAATTCATGTTTGGTTATTTGTGCCCATGCATTTGGGAAAAAACCTGTGAAAATTATTTACACAGGGAGAAGGCAAAGAAAACTGACTGCCGGTTGAATAATAGGACTAATGGAGTTAGAGTTGCGGCATCACAGCACATCCGTACGGGGACAGCAAAAGGTAAGATGTTTTTTCCCAAGCTCTTTAAGAAACAGCTTTTCCAGCTTTGCTGATTTATTCATTATTCTGCAGTAAAGGGGAAATCACAAGTCTGATATCTGTTTTGGAGCAAGTCAGCATGTCAGCGGTCTAGTCTGTGCTTTGACTTGCTGTGTAGAACATGCTAGACTGTCTTCTGTATGCAGTTGCTTAGGGTATGTCTCTTTTCATGCATAACTGGAAAAATCCTAGTAGAGTCTCCATAAGTTGCCTTATGTGGCGTAGTTGTTGCAGAAACAGTTAATGTTGGGCTACTTCTATATGAAATTTAGCAGTCCAAGTGTGTGGAGGTCCAGCATCTTGTCATTAGCGTTCTCTTTGCAGCTCACTAGTTTCTTTAGCTGTTGGGGAATGGCCCATGAGGAACCTGTGTAAAAACCCTCTGGTGTGAATCATTGATGAACTGTAGTGTGTAAACCAAGTGACTACTGAGCTACAACACAGAACTGTGTATGCTACCCTAACAGGGTTTTCACGTTTGGGTAATCCAGCAAAATCTACTGTCTAGGCCAAGACTTGTGTACGTCAGTCAGTTATAAGACAAAATGATATTTGTGTTCCTTTAGTAAATTGAGTCTCCCAAGCATTGTTACAAATTTCTAAAGGACTACGTTACCCATTGACTTTGCCATCTTGATGTTTTCTAAGCTTCCATTTGTGCCCTTGCCTCTCTTATATTTAATTCTCCTAGCAGAAAGTTGACAAAGACTTTGCCTTTTTCTACACCACCTAATTGGCATAAGTGTTGAAAGGACTCTTACAAAGTGCCTTGTCTCGCTCTTGCTTCCACTTGGGGTACAGTCTTGATTAGACTCTCATTCTTGCTTCTCCCTGTTGAGAGTTCCAGGTGGATCCCATTCTGAATTACTGTTGTGTTTTACAAGCAATATTTGTTACCACCTTGTGCTGGTTTTGGCTGGATTAGAGTTAATTTTCTTCATAGTATCTAGTACAGGGCTATGTTTTGAAAACAATGTTGATAACACAGGGATGTTTTAGTTACTGCTGAGCAGTGCTTACACAGAGCCAAGACCTTTTCTGCTCCTCACAGCACCCCACCAGCC